ATGTGAATGTAGAACTGTTTCTCAGTCAACTCATCGACCAGTGGCAGAGCTAGCCAAGTTTGTTGAGGTATGCCAGGCAGAGCATACATAGACCATAAAGGTCTCTCCAACTCTAGATCCACCAATGTCGAATTTCTTCAGACCGAGCGAGCCCCAGTTTGTAATGGAATAAAAAGTGGAAAGTATTTGCCCCTGTTAGCGTGTCTGGACTTGCCAGAGGCATGCAGGTGGGATGTGACGTCATTCCCAGGTTAGGAGTGTTGTCGCCCATAAACAGAGAGGAGGAACGCGTTGGAAAAATGACTCCTGTGATGCGTCTCGTGGCCATTTTGGATGAGTCGGCATGAGTCAGCAACAGCTCATCCTTTTTCAGAGATAGAAGGAAGCTACAGTTCTGTAAACTGTACTTGGCTGAGGTCACTTCAGAATGTGTTTCAGATCACAGTAGTTTGCTGAGACCTTTGAAACACTGATTAAAAACGTGTCTTGGGAAAGTTGATACTGTATTACAAAGCAATAAACAAAAGAGTGTAGCGTAATTTGAATAGATTCAGCATGGATATATTTAACTAGATGGACATACCTCCGAGGTGCCAGCGGGTGCCTCCTGCTCCACTGCGGACCCGCTGCCGAGACCGTTGGCTGGGGGAGACTGGCTACCCGAGTGGGGAGCTCTGTCCGGCCTGTGGGGGGTGGTCTGGTAGGGGGGCTGCAGGGGGATGGCCGAGCGCAGGGGCTCCCTCAGTAAAGTGGCCTGGATGCCTGGGGTTCCCGGGGGGCCCGTGGAAGAGGCGTCCACTGTTAGGGAGAGGTAACATAGGTAGCAGTTAGAGCTATAGATTTTGTAGGCAATGTATTGTAGGAGTATGTGTACATTGTACAGTATTGTACATTTCATGATTATCAGATGTTATGGCTGTTCATGGCATCTGTTATATTATTGTTATTATAGTGTTATGCAGGCTGTATGACCAAGGGTTCAAGAAAAATATTATATTTGCCTCTAACTGGTTCACTGTTCTCAGTGGTGTAAAGTACTTAAGTAAAAATACTTGAAAGTACTACTTAAGTAGTTTTTTGGGGTATCTGTACTTTACTATTTTATATTTTTGACAACATTTACTTTACTACATTCCTAAAGAAAATTGTACTTTTTACCCCATACATTTTCCCTGACACCCAAAAGTACTCGTTACATTTTGAATACTTAGCATGACATGAAAATGGCCCAATTCACACACTTATCAAGAGAACATCCATGGTCATCCCTACTGCCTCGGATCTGGCCGACTCACTAAACACATGCTTTGTTTGTAAATTATGTCTGAGTGTTGGAGCGTGCCCCTAGCTATCCGTAAATTAAAAAAATTAATAATAATTGTCTGGTTTGCTTAATATAAAGGAATTTGAAATTACTTTAAAAACTTTTGATACTTAAGTATATTTAAAACCAAATACTATTAGACTTTTACTCAAGTAGGATTTTACTGGGTGACTTTCAATTTTACTTGAGTCATTTTCAATTAAGATATCTTTACTTTTACTCAAGTACAACAATTGGGTACTTTTTCCCACCACTGACTGTTCTTTAAGTAGCCTACAGTTCTGAATGATGTTCTCAGATACAGTTCTGTAGTCCTAGCTATCAATGCCTAGCCTTGCCAATGACCCTGGCATTGTCTGGCGAATATACACAAGATCCATACAATGGGGCAAAGACAAGTATACAGGCCATTCATATTCTAACTACCTGTTGAAGACAGTTAATGTAGCGACTCAGGAGAGGGACTTAGTGGAAACTAATGAGAGGATAGGGGCTATTTAAAGGAAAAGGTGACATAATCCTGGTTATTTTTGTAACTTCCACTTGAGGAAAAACGAACCCCCTGACCACATAATAAAATAACCTAACATTACGCACTGTCTCCATACACAATTCCATAGGAAAGACGGCAAAAACAACCGGAAAAACTGGATACCTCATCAGCATCATGTGCTGTTTGATAAGCGAAAGGTGGATGAAGTTTGCTGACGACAATGGTGGTAGGACTGATCATCGACGACGATAAGGCAGCCTATAGGGAGGAGGTCAGAGACCTGGCCGTGTGGCTCCAGGAAAACACAACCTCTCCCTCAACGTCAGCAAGACAAAGGAGCTGATGGTGGACTACAGGAAATGGAGCACGTCCTCATCCACATTGACGGGCTGCAGTGGAGCGGGTCGAGAGCTTCAAGTTCCTTGGTGTCCACATCACTAACGAATTAACATGGTCCACACACACCCACACAGTTGTGAAGTGGGCACGACAGCGCCTCTTCCTCCTCAGGAGGCTGAAAACATTTGGCATGGGCCCTCAGATCCTCAAAAAGTTATAGAGCTGCACCATTGAGAGCATCTTGACTGGCTGCATCACCGCTTGATACGGCAACTGCAAGGCATCCGACTGCAAGGCGCTACAGAGGGTGGTGAGTACAGCCCAGTACATCACTGGGGCCAAGCTCCCTTCCATCCAGGACCTCTATACCAGGCGGTGTCAGAAGAAGGCTGAAAAAAATTGTCAAAGACTCCAGCCACCCAAGCCATTGACTGTTCTCTCTGCTACTGCATGGCAAGCGGTACCAACAGGACCCTGAACAGCTTCTACCCCCAAGCCATACGACTGCTAAATAGCTAATTAAATGTCTACCCGGACTACCTGCATTGACCCTTATTTACACCAACTCTCTTGCACCGACTCTATGCACACACACTGGACTTAACCCACACATACGTAACCCAACACACACATAACACGCGCACACATGCATACTGACACCACACACACAACACATACGTTGCTGCTACTGTCTTATCTATCCTATTGCCTATTCACTTCCTATACGTACATAGCTACATTAATTAGCTACATAACTACATAGCTAGCTCAATTAGCTATCTCAATTAGGGGCGGCAGGTAGCCTAGCAGTCAAGAGCGTTGGGCCAGTAACCAAAAGGTCGCTGGTTCGAATCCCCAAGCGGACTAGGGAAAAAATCTGTTGATTTACCCTTGAGCAAGGCACTTAACCCTAATTGCTCCTGTAAGTCGCTCTGGATAAGGGCATCTGCTAAATGACTAAAATGTAATGTAAATGTAATTACTTCGTACCCCAACACATCAACTCGGTACAGGTACCATGTTATTTTTACTCGCTATTGTTATTCACTGTGTATTTATTCCTTGTGTTACTATTTCTATTTTTATCTTTAACTTTACATTGTTGGAAAAGGACCCGTAAGTAAGCATTTCACTGTTACTCTACACCGGTTGTGTATGAAGCATGTGACAAATAAAATGTGATTTGATGAGTCCAAATGGAAATAGAGAAAGACAGAGGAAAGTTTTTCATTTTTTAGCATTCTATGTCATGGGCCAGGAACAAGGTTTTGGTCCCGCCTACCTTCTTGTTTGGCCGTGAATGTGCGGGCGGAGTCTCCCAGCCGGATAAGCTCATTGGTCGAGCCCGTCTCCTCCGCATTCCAAGAGTGGAGGGAATGTTTGCTGCTAGACTGGACAGCAGAGCTGGAAGATAAAAGAAAAATCTTAAAGTTACAGATGTATCACTATCAAAGTCAATCAAAGAAAATACCACCAAACATAGTTGATAGG